ATATTTTAATGCGTTTTGCGGCAACTGGAACGTTTAAGGGTTTCGCTACTTTTGGCTCTTTTAAGCTAAACATTGCCCGGCAATCATAACACGACACTAAGTATGGCTTCCTATGGAAAGCAGAGTATCGGATCAATCCAAAATTCCGCACCGCTGAGAAAATTGAATGCAGTCTGACACGGGCGGGCTTTGCTTACAGGTTCGCCCTACTGTTTACAGTTGTAGGCTCCTCACACATCCCCACCCTAAGGACTGGGAACGGGCATAGGCGCAGTGGCTCACAAAGCAGAACTACATGTAAAAGGCTACATCAGTAGCGATCCGGGCATCACGTAGGTGAGGCTATCATAACCGGCACTTTGGTGAGGAGCCAATACAGCCTGACTCTTGGTCCACCCCAGTCATTACACCATATTCATTTTGAAAACCGAGTTACCCCGTCAGTTAGCAACATTTTATGGGCACCATGTGACCTAGTCTCCATTGCCTATGTTGGGCTTCTGTAAGGGCCTTGGACCTCACAAGGGTGGGAGTGCCATAAAGCCAACACCAAGAAATGGCTGCTGGAGCCGGAGTCCTGGGAGGATCGTGTTTTCCCATCATTTTACAACCTTCTGAGCCACAACTTATGTCATAATATAGGATGCACCGAATTGCCGTGGGGATGGAGACCCTGGTGTCGGCATCACTCTCCTCTATTCCATGCACCTGTCAACCGTGGGCTGGTGGAATTGGGCGCTGGCGCTGCGTGGGGGCCTACTTTTAAGGCGTGCCACACACATTTGCGGCAGTAATTATAGGCTCTCGCGGATTCAGCGTAACCCGTGAGTTGGGCTTATCCGCGATTTCTTCTAGCGTATCTGTAAAGGTGACCATATGCATATTTATATAAACATAAGGAGGTTAGTAGCGTACTTAGGGTAGTGGGCAATGTACTTGACCCCGTTAAAAACGTTACATGCACTATTAATATTGAAGGCACATATTACTAAAATTTCTCCAGTAGCATTTGTTTACGGAATTCGTTTTTGGAGTGTGGAACTGCGAAGGGTGCGGCAGGCGGTCCTTTCCACGTGCACATAAAATTTTTGGTGCAATTTTATGCGATAAGCACAAAGTGCAGTCATTTGCGTAGTTTGGGTGGGGGAATTTTTTATTTAACGTGCAGGGGTGCGTTACATAGGGGGGATATCAGGGAATGAAATTTATGGCTGACCGCAGATAGTCCTGCACTGAAAGTCGTCCATCAAATATCAAATGATCCAGCTGCCTCTAGAATGTATCAGATTTCACTATTCCACTTGAGGGTAAGTTCCACGGCCGAACAGCACGCTGACTGTATGAAAACTTTCGGTGGTTTAGGTGTTTACTCCGCTTTATCTTTTACGGATGACCGCGCAGGTGGTCGTGAGGTCAAAGAAGTCTTCAGATTTGAGCGAAACTTCGTGCCTGTGGATAATGTGGAATGTTCATAACAGGTCGCACCTCATTCGTCTATGGGATAGGGAAAACAAGTTTAGCTGAATCAGTCTTTCTGAATATGACAGAGTCCTGAGACCGTCCGCCAGTTGTGTGGCCCTTCGCTGTACCCGCTCTATGGCATCACTGTCTTTCTTCATCCAGGGCGCCCATGCTGACATTCCGTATTCCAAATACGGTCTGACGAAAGTACCGAATATTTGTGAGAAGAAATCGGGACGAAATATTGTGAAGGGACGCCTAATCCAGTACATGATGCTGGCTGCCTTTTGGACGACTCTTGCAGTGCTGGGAGGGCAGCAAGTTTGAACTAGTCCAGACACCTAGGTCCTTGTGCGTATCCACTTCTGTTAGAGGAACCCCATGTATGGTGTGCTGGTGTTTTGGGAAGCGCCTCCGACCAGATTCTAGGCGCAAGACTACACATTTTGATACATTAAAGGCTGGAAGCCACTTGCTGGACCATGCAGCCAGCTTATCAACATCTTCCTGCAGTTTCTGCGAGTCGTCAAAACGGCGGATTGTTTTCCAGATCTTTATATCATCTGCAACCATGATGGCATTGCATTAATGATCTGTGATACAGTCGTTTATAAAGATGAGGAAGGAGAGAGGACCCAAGACTGAACCCTGCAGAACGCCGCTTTTTACTGCTACCTATTCGGATGCAGTGGTACCAACAATTACTTTTGGAGCCTGTATGAAAGGGAACTTTTACTCCACTTTAAAGTGTTGCCCTGTATTCCACACCCCCAAATCTTTGTATGAGTCGGCCATGAGGAACGCTATCAAGCGCGTTTTTAAAGTCAAAGAAGATGACATCCACTGGACGGCCCTGGTCTGTGGCTTTTGTCCACTTTTCCTGCGAGTAAAGACTGCTCGTAAGACATGTGTGACCACGACGAAATCCGTGCTGAGCAGCACACAATGGGTCCCTCTGCTCCAGATACGTCGTATAATGTCCCTTTATAAGTCGTTCCATGACCTCGCACAAAATGCAGCTTAAGCTAGTAGGACGGTTATTTTCCGGCACCAGTCTGAATCCTCCTTTGTAGACTAGAGAAAGAAGGGCAGTTTTCCATTCCTCCCGCCGTTTGCTTTCTTACATGAACTTCTGAAATATCGTGGACACTGGCTCGCACATGTCGTCAGCAAAATGTTAAAGGACAAGTGGATGAATTCTATCTGAATCGGGTGATTTGGCAGGCTCCGGTCTGCGTATTTCGGTCCTTATCCACGCTGGCGAGAAGTAAATATTGTCTTCTAATGCAGGAGATGAAGGATTTTGTTGTTAGTCTGGGTAAGGCATAGGAGGAGGATTTGTGTCATGAGTGGATACCGACTGAAAGGAACTGGAGTAGACTAATGCTTTCATGTGATCATCTACCTCAATTACTCCGTTTTGGGACATCAGCGCCGGAATCTGGTCACGATTTCTCTTTTCATTACGTATGTAACCATAGAGGGTTTAAGGATGTTCCAGAGCGTTTTGCAAGATGCATGGCTCATAGTTCCTTCGAAGTCTATTAGCCTCGCGTTTACACACATTCCGCTGTCGCTTGTATTGCTTCAGGTGTTCAGGACTCTCTCTTTGTCGATAACGTCTCCACACTTTATTTCTGCTCTTAAGCGCGGTTTGTAGTTTCCCGCTTATCCACGGCGGACAGTTGCTTGCTTTCTTTCGTCTGACTGGACAGTTTAGATTAACGATTCTTTTAGCCAGAGTTCTTCAGCAGGAAATTGAGTTGTACTTGTACATTTCCGGGTCAATGACACAAACTGATGATAGAGGATTTAAACGATTGCACTAGACCTTTCTAGGCGATGAACGCATTCTGCCGTGATGTCGTTGCCTTGTTTTTTCCCAATACGATGTGCTTATTTAAATGAGAACGTGACCAATGCTCAAGAAAAAGTCCTGTTGGGATCCCGTCACATCATGTTTTGGAAATGTCCTATCTCTGGTGTAGGTAATACTACCATTTTGAAAATAAGTATTACCAACAAGCTAAAGTAATCTCAGTGGGCACGCCAATACAGGGACTATTTGATGAACTAGACTTACACTCACTAGAGGAAGATGTTATTCAAATTCTCAAGTCCTTAATTTGACTCCATCGCGTAGATGCCACCTTGGCCGTCATAAAGAATTGCAAAGTCGAACGACTGCATCGGAGATGGAAGTATTTCTTCTCGGTTATAAAATTTGCTAGTAAAGAGGCAGTCTGAGACAGCCCTCAGCCTGCAGGAATAGATTTAATGCCGAAAAATATTACGGAGACAACGCTCTTCTTCCGGGTATGACATTATCACGCCAGGGAAAATGTGCTTAGAAAGGAACTAGTTTACCTGTATCGATTGTTTCGGTCCAACGGCTATTTTATTAGTTTTTTAAATAACTACCTTAGACGTCGGATATAATCATAAGACCCCAAGCCGCACGAAGCTATCTTGCCGAAGAAATTCTTCTTCAAGCCTCAAATGAACGAAACCTCCGAAGTGGTCGCACGGCAGATGAGTTGTTTCGTGTTCTCATCGCCGAAAATCCGACACTAGCTGTAGTTTATTGACATTCATGCGCTAAGTACTCCCGCGTGTAAGTTGATCATTACTGTGATAGGGGGCGCTCACCGATCGTTCATATGGAACTCACTCGTTCCTTTGTGTCTTAAGGACTCTCTCTCTCTCTCTCTCGAGCCCAACCAGCAGCCACACGGCGGCGCATGATATATAGGCAGAATGGTATTACCGACAAAGACAAGGTAATACCATTCTGCCTATTGATCATTACTGTCGACACCTGAGCATTCAGATTTACGACCACTGTCCCTATCTTTGCGCACACAATCGAATGTGACCACCGGTCAATCGGGACGATTCTGGACTCGCTGTCATGACTAACGCAATGACGGAGAAAACATTTCTTGAGGTTTTGCATTCCAATACCAGCAGCAGCAACCGCCACGTTGACCTACGAGGGTATGCCAGCACAACTCACTGGCCGTCGCCGCCATCCCTTGTCAACAGCTGTTAATTCTGTCGCCTGCAGTCCCATTGATTGACTAGCTCCCTGTCTCCTCTAGAACTAGAAGCTCTAACCATACTCCTCCTTTTCGAGACTTGCTGTAATTCTGTACTCCCGTCTTACACGGCAGTACTCTGCCCGTGCAATCCGTATGGCCTTGGTGACACTTAATCATGCTTTCTCTCTCACTCTGTACGCCTGAAGACGGGTTGTCGTCGCTAACTTTTCACTTATAACGTCTTGGAAGATATACTGCCTATTCCATAGTAAATAAAGCGCTAACTATAGGTGGTATGGTGAAAAAAGAGGGGGTGTTCACCGGCAGAGCTTATTCGCTATATGATGTCTTGAAAATAAATCCAGTTTCAGGTTATTTCAGTTTATTTGATAAGGATGATAGGCAAAGCCTTTGAAAACCCTATTGATAACATGTCAACTCGTTAGAAATAGCTGTACAGTAACGATGAAAATGTTCGCTATATACATAGTACTTGATTCATTTGAGTAGCATTGTCACAGAGAAAAAATATGTGGGGAACCGGGGTGTTAAGCTCAGATTCAGACTGTCGAGGGAAAACAGGGGACACAAATAATCATCCAAGCGTTTCTTGAAGAGTTGCAGGGATGTCGCCTCCACGACTGACTGGGGGAGATCGTTCCATTTCTCCACTACCCTTTGCGTGAAAAATTCAGAACGAAGGTTCAGCCTGGACATTGTTGTCCGTAGCTTCATCGAGTGGCCACGAAGATTGGGTGAAAGGTGCCACTGAAACATGTCCTCAAAGTTAAGTCCATGCTCAAGGCCATTTATTATCTTGTAAACCAGGATTAGATCACCTCTTTGCTGCCTGTAACACAGAGGGAATAGATTAAGGCAATTCAGTCTGTCCGTGTAGGATTGGTTTTTTAGACCGTTTACCATCTTTGTTGCCCTACGTTGCACCCGTTCGAGGCATGCTTTGTCCTTTACAAGCCATGGCCGCCATGCTTGTATGCCATATTCTAAGTGGGGCCGAACGAAGGTGCCGTAAACTCTCCCAAAGAGGTCTTGTTCAAAGGTAACGAACGCCCTTTTGATTGCATGCAGCACTCCCATTGCGTTTTTTGCAGCCTTGTGGCACTGCAATGTTGGTTTCAAATTGTTCTGTATCCAAACCCCGAGATCCTTCTGTGAAGATTCTGCGGGGAGTCTTATATCTTTCAGATGATATGTCCTCAGGCTCTGATTTGAATGAGAGTTAGTTGGACGCAGATGGAGGACGGCACACTTCTGCACATTGAAGTCTAGAAGCCATTTCTCCGACCACGCTTGCAGTCGATGAAGATTGTTTTGGAGGGATCTCTGGTCGTTAGGACTCTTAATGACTTGCCAGAGCTTAACGTCGTCAGCAAACATTATTTTGCCACAGTCGAGTTCCTGAAGGCTGTCATTAACATAAAGGAGGAATAGCAATGGTCCCAGAACTGAGCCTTGAGGCACACCACTGGTCACGCTCACCCATTCTGACATATCATCACCGATGCAAACACGTTGTTTCCGACCAATCAGAAACGCCCCTATCCAGTTCAGAAGATCTCCCCGGATGCCGATGGCGCTCAATTTGTGAAGAAGGCGTTGGTGCGGGACAGTATCGAAGGCTTTGCGAAAATCGATGTACACGACATCAACTTCAAAACCCTCTTCTAGGGCCCTGGTCCAGATCTCCAGACAAGCTAGCAGATTTGAGAGGCAAGAACGTCCTCTCCGGAAGCCATGCTGGAAATCCTGCAAGAGGTTATTTTCTTCACAAAATTGCTGTATGGCACTCTTTACTAGAGCTTCCATCGTTTTGCACGATAGGCAGGTTAGGCTAATAGGCCTGAAACAGCTTGCTGCCATCCTGCTACCGCCTTTATGTAAGGGAACGAGGTTAGCTGTCTTCCACTGTGATGGCAGCCTTCCTGTTCTCATTGACAGCTCAAAGAGCGTCGAAAGAGGCTTCGCCAGCTCCTTTGATAGCTCCTTAAGTATCAGACCAGGAATTCCGTCGGGTCCAGGAGACTTGTCTGGTTTTATTTGACTGAGGACGCGTCTTACTTCTCCGACGGAAAAGGCAACGGTTTCAATGACGGCAGTATCTTGGCGCATTTGAAAATTCCGGCTGTTTCTGTCCATTTCAAACTGCTGATCGTCTTCTGAGGACTCCTCCGTAAAAACCGATTGAAAAAACTCAGACAGTAACTGCACTTTCTGGGGCCCTTCGACTAGCAAGTTTCCGAGGCTATCCTTAAGACACGCAATTTCGTCCCTATGTTTTCTCCTACTACGGATGTACTTGTAAAACTTCTTGGGACATGTAATGGATTCTGCTACCAGTCTGCGCTCGAAAGAAGTTCTGGCAATCCGTATTTGTTTGCGGCATTTATTGCGCTGATCCTTATATTCGGCGAGTGATACTGGATCTCGAAGTTGCATATACTTTTTCCACAGCCTCTGTTTCTTCTTCATGGCCTTTTTTGTCGTCGAATTGACCCACGGCGGTCGCCCACATGGTCTTGTTATTTTTATGGGACAATGGAAGTCAATTAGACTCTCTATAATCCCGCGAAAGTACTGCCAGAATTCTTCAGAATCTTCGTTGTTGACTAACCAGGTTTCTTCCAAAAGAGCACGTCTCATTGCGTTAAAATCACCCTTCCAAATATTTCTGCGACTCTTGATTTTTGGTTGTTGGTTCGATAGGAGAGGGCACACGCATGTAAAAGCAATATGATCGCTTAAACCGAGGGGAGGTTGGGGATTCACTTCTCTTATGACTCCTTCTTCTTTACTAAAAACGAGATCGAAACAGTTAGATCGTTGTCCGTCTCTTAGTCTTGTTCCGAATTTTATGTGTTGAATGAGGTATTCATTCAAGGAGAGTTGAAGTAGCTTGTGGTCAAATGACGTGAACGGGGCGTTTGCTAAGGGAACTTTCCAGTCTATTCCGGGAGCGTTAAAGTCACCCAGAAGTAATAAGTTCTCCTGCTTACATAACGACTCCAGTACACTAAGCAATTCCACATCGGCGATTTTATTCGAGCTGGGAGGCCGATAGACAACACACAGGTTAAGTGTCGGTAATCGTTTGATGC